TTTAGTTGATTGTGGGTCCATGTCTAGCTGTCGGACATGCTATCAGACTAGTTCTTTGAAGTCAGTGAGTACAAAGGTTTGAAAATTCAGCAAATTTTCTAACTTAGCTTTGAAAACATCTTCTGATGTTCATTTCTTATTAAAGAACAAGCTGTTTCCAGCTTCCTCCCCATTTTATTTTGTGGTTACACAGTATGGTGTTGTGATGCTTCTTGAAGCGTAGAATTGTTTAGGATGTTAGGGACTTCTGGAACTCATCTAGTCCAGCCTCTTGTTAGAATTAGTTTGCAGAGTTAGGTAAAGTTGTTTAGGGCTTTGCCCCATCAAGTATTGTGCCCCAATCCAACTGGGTCAACTCTAGGTCCTGAAAGTAGAGCCTGATTCTGACATCTCTAACCCTCTTTTTAGTAGTTGAAGACAGCAGTTAGCCACTTAAATAAATTCAGTGCTCCGTCTTTCTTCTGTGGCATCTGTTCTGGGTGTCCAGCCATCTCAATAACCATGGGCTAGACTTGCTCCAGTTTGTCAGTGTTTTTCTTATACTTAATTGGGGCTCAACACACAGTAACCGAACTGCTGGCTACTACCTTTTGAACCTAGTAGTATACACTTAGTTTGTTACCTGCCTTGTATTCCACTCGTCCAGTCCTTATCTCTCCAGTTTGACTATAGGGACACTGTGGAACACCATGCTGTAGGCTTAGTTAAAGTCAAGGTTATTCACACCCACTGCTCTTTCCATGCTGTTTGGAGAGCCGCCATTATTGTCAGCAGGAGTCAATTGGGTGGTTCAGCATGATTTACCTTTGGTTCGTTTGTGCTAGTTGTTCACATGACTTGAAATAGCTTCCAGAAAACTTGTGCCATAATAATCCCAGACACTACAGGGAAGATTACTGGCCTGTAGTTCTCAGCAACATCTCTTTGTGAAAGTGGGTATGACATTTGTCTTTTTCCAGTCATGGGTCCATATTCAATCATGATGTCTTCTCAAAGTATTGAATTTCTAGTTTTCTTTCAAGATCTACGGATGGATGTGTATGATGTGCATGCAAACACACACACAGCCATTTTGTAGGAGGATGCTAGGCAGTGAAAGTCTAGAACATTTCAGAAGTCTGGTCCCCTAAAAACTGGACTGAGTGGTACTGTAGAGTTATGTGGACAATAACTCTAAACAAGCGAGTCATCTTAGTCATAAATGAGTGGTACCTCCAGCACAGCACCTGATCATTTATTCACCAACAAAGGTTCAGGAGCTAGTCAAGATCCATTTTTTGTTTTGTTGGTTTTGTCTTTCTGTTTTTGGGGGTGTTGATCAAATAGCAGACACTTTAGCGACAGTGTTTTTAATCAGAACATTATAGCTGTGTAGTTGCAAATCTGTATTATGCACACAACTGTGATGTTACATATTTCATGAGATGAGTAAGCTAAAAAGTAGTAATACCATCTGTTTTTCTAGATGATCAAAGCTGAAGGTAATCTGTTGTGATATTTTGCTGCTGCACTCAAAATCCGCAAGAATAGAGGGTAGACTTCTTATTGGCACAACTGAGTAACAGCTTGGTGCCGGATTGCATTTAGGTCAATTTTGCATTGGTCTGTAGTTTTTCTGAGAAATGTGAAATTTCAGACTACAGTAAACTGATGGTTGAAGGTTTCTCAGTTTCTTTGCTATTAGGGCTTACTGCATATTCTAAAAAATAATAATTAGAAACTGTAATCTCACTGAAAAAGAATTTGGTCCTACTAACAAAACTGTTGTTATTATTTTTTATAGTGGTGGAATGTAACTACTGGAGAATCCTTACAAACCTTCTACACAAATGGAACAAACCTCAAGTCAATACATGTGTCTCCTAATTTCAAAGTGTATGTGACTGTTGATAATCTTGGTATTCTTTATGTATTACAGAAATTCTGATCAATGTGCCGAACACTGCAAAGATAACTAATTTTTTAAGCTGAAACAAAATTCTTCTGGATGTTTGTCTGACTCTTAAGCTGTGAATTACAGTTCATTGTTGTATTCATGTTTTCATGTATATTTATGTACATTTATTTATGTCTTTTTCAAATGAACTTGCATTTAATTTTACTTTTAATAAGTGTTATTATAATCCTTAAATCTTGATTTGCATTTTAAGTATGTTGCTTCCAATTTTGTAAGGAAATTATATTAAGATTTATTCAAATTAGTTGAAATTAATAGCAGTGAAAAAATAATAAGAGTATAATACTTTGAAATTATATATTGTGCTGAGGCTGATGGCTAAATGTTCTTTAGTCACGAACACAACTGTATAAGGTACAAACCCATTTTTTTTTTACTGTGATGCAAGGATTTTTACTTAGTATGGAATGGAAAGAAAGAGGTGCATCCTTCATTTGAAATATGAAACCAGGCATCTTGGTGCTTGACATTCAAACCAAATCAAGTAGCTGTTCAATTTACAGCAGCAGTGCCTCCCACTTGTGGTAAGAACCTTCATGCTTTGCATCTGTGGAGATAAAGTGCATTGTAACACGTGTGAGCTGTTCCTGTTAAGGGGAACATCCTGAGTCTTGTTTTCTGAAGGAAAAATCTGAAAGGATACCACAACTGAAGTGGAAAAGATAGTGCCATATTTCCAGTCCAAGGATGAGTACAGCTAACCAACTAAACTGCAAATGGAAATGGCTTAAAAGCTATGTACTGAAAAATCTAAAAAGGTGTGAATTTAATAGCTTTTCTTTTCTTTTGGATTTAAAATTCAGTTTATACTATGGAGGCACTTTACTGTCGTCAGCTTTGTTTACATGGGATTCTATGCCCACTTGATCTCTTGCCTGGTAATATGTGATTTTTTTTTTTAATTTTTGAAATTTTTACAGTCTATTTATAGATTCCATATAGGGTAGAAATATTGACATTTTGTACTAATTACACTTGACAGATGTTTTGTGAGTAATTAGGTAGCAATTTTTTCTTAGATACCTAGTAAGTCTTTTTCTATTCAATTGCCTCTCAACTGCTATGAGCAACTACACAAGCATTAATATGATTTTCATATTTTTGTAGCTAGCAGTAGAACACTGTCTAAAGACTTGATTGTAAGAAGTACAGTATCAAGTATCTGAACTGATACTGATAATGAAATTCTCACTTATGGTATTTTTTGTGTGCATTTCAGAAGATTTCATATGCATTTTTAGTATTTCCCTGGTTTTGACAATCGCCAGCTTTTCCTCTTTTTTAACTCAAAATTGTGCTATTTCTAAGGTGCTATTGAATACGGGTCAGTATAATCACAGTACTGCTGGCAGATATGTAAAGAGAAGAAATTCAGTGGAAAAGAACATGATGTTTTGTTTCCGAAGTATGTACAATACTCAATAAAGATAATCCAGGCAATACTGGCCAAAGGTGTAAATGAACTTGTATTCTTGAGTATTTCTTAATACATAGTAAGAGGGAGGGGGAGTGCTGCCTCTTTTATTGTCTTTCACTGTGATTTTACTTTCAATCTAAACATAATGATGCTTTACAAACTACATCAAAAATACTTTGACAGGTGAGCAACAGTATTAAATATGAGTGTGGAGAAAAAAGTGAACTGCACTCCTGGAACATTTCCTGCAGTGTTCAGGACAGAGTTGTCTCTACTGTCTAGTTTGTACAGAACCCATCAGTACCTCCCTGAATAGCTGAAGAATCATGGAGCAGGAAGCTTCTCTCAACAAATATCCCTGGATCCGAGATGCGGATCTGTGCTGTCCCTGTTGTGCAGAACCGGTCAGCCTGAACTTAGACACTTATCCAGGTTAAAAGATACAGGATAAATGTTTCCCATGAGGAACCAGGGCAGAAAGGTGTCTTCTGTGAGAACACTAATTAAATCCTGATGATAGGAAAAACGGATCATGGTTTAATGCAGAAAGCAAATGGTGCATGAGCAGAGTTTATAGATGATTGCAATGTTGAAGTGAGTAGGAGGCAAGTAGCACAAAACTTGAAGAAATGTGAGATGAATACTGCATTCTTGGATTGTTCTGGAAGAATGACAGCACAGCAGCACTGTACTTGTTGCTGGAACTGAGGAAGCTGTGCTTCATAGAAGGTAATGTTAATAGAGTTGGGATGGTTGCAGTCACGTAGGTAAATGTATGGAGTTGGCTGTAGGTATTTGTAGCTGAGGTGGAAGAAGAGAAATAGTGATGAAAAAGTCTGAAGATCCAAAGAATAGATCTGATTCGCAGGGAGAGGATGAAAAGCTTCAAGTGAAAAATTATTACAGTAGGACCAAAACAGTAACTTCTTTAATTTAAAATGTTTAAGAAGGCAGTTTACTGTAATAAAAAATGTCTTCCTGTATCATCAGATTTAGCTGTTCTCTTTAATGGTAGATGTATTTTCAAGGAAATGGGAAATTTTACTAGAAGCAATTTTAATTGACATTGGTATGTAGATTGGACATTAGTGCTTCCATTATTATTTCTTGTAATGTCAGATCAAACTGAATGACTCTGCATTCAAATTTAACTAATGAGCATTGCCAGTTTTATCTAGGTCTTTCACTGAAATTATATGCTTTTATGATAAACAAGTTTTAGGTACACTTCCTACTAACCATGCCTATCAGTTTCTGTAGAAGTTTTGGTCTCTTCACTTGGCAATTAGAACCACAGCTCCTTCATAAATCTGTGTTTTTTCGTTTCCTTGGGAACTGTACCCACATGGACTACACCTGCTTAAGAGGATGCTTTGTATGGTGTGGAGATGCACCATTCCTTTAACTACAGTGTTCTCCTTCCCCCTCTTATCTTATAATAGGCATTTGAAATAAACTGTACCATTACTGTCTGAGGTTTTTTCCATATAAAGGTTTATAGATCTCTTGTAGTGCTGAAGTGTGGGGGTAGAGCTGGAACTGATAACCTGTTCTCAGTAGCAGAACATCCCCCACCCAAAATTATTTGGCCTTCTTTAGAAAATTATGCTATTAAACTCCCTACTTCAGAATGCTGTGCAAATCGCTGGCTTGTTTGTTTGGGGATTTTTTTTTACCATTTTGAAATTTAGTGAACTCTCTGTGTGGGACCCTGTTCCCCAAGTTGTATACAGATAGTACATAGTCTATGTCCTTATCAATGCTCTCCCGAGGTGTTTTTACAGAAGCTGATGCCTTTGCAGGTTTCAGGGGAAAGACAAGACTCAGGTGATTTCCTCTGCCCTCCTGGAACAGAACATTGCAGCGAGGCCACTCCCACCCATCTTCAAGAAAGCAGTAAATTCAGAATATCAATAGGTCACAGAGAATGCAGGTATGTTCTTGCAATTGCTAGTAGAACATAAACCCCTTACTGAACTATTTGGCTGCCCCTTCTCCTTCATAGCAAGTACAGATGCCATGGCAATGCCAAGGAGTGGAAAAGTCAGCCTTGGGATGTGTGTCCCTCTGGTAGCATGCTCAGGTGTATTTGTCCATGTTGTGCTTCCCTCCTTGTGTCTACTATGGAGACATAAATTTTGTTTGGGCTCATACATGGTGATGATGATGCCCAAGAGCTCTGAGGACTCGGGACACCTTATTTCTGTTGTGATTTCAAGAAAAGCAGAAGCCAAATGACCTTTACTGTTTGGAGAATAGGGAATGTGCCAGGTACTCTGAACACTTCCAGTGTGGTTTGGGGTTTTTCTTTTTTTTTTTGCTCAATTTCACTCTGCTCTTTCAGGCTAGGGATGTGACACAGTCACTGACTCTGCCAATATGCAGTAAGATGTTAAACTGAGACTAGGCTTGTTTGTGGCTGGAACTCTGCAGTAGACTGACCTGTATTTTTGGGTGGTGTGCTGCTATCCACATTTGTGTTGGTGTGGGTTTTTTGGGGGGAGGTGGGGAGCAGTGGGTTTGGAACATGAATGTTGGGTTTTCTTGGATTTTAAGATGTTTTTTTCCAAATTAACTTACTGCACATCTTTCTTCTAAAAGGGCCTTTTATGAGAAACCTTGCAAGTAGATTTAATAGAGGCCTCAGCTGGGACTGTTAGGTGCATCCCGAAAGAATATTGACGAGAAAGATTTTCAGTCTGCTTGTGTTATTGAGAGCTTTATCAGTTCCTACAGTTACACTTGTGGGATATAGCACAACTGTGATAATTGGACTAGTTGAACTATTGAAGTGACATGTGTGTGTTTGCTCAGAAGAATGAGAAAGCTAAAGTATCTTAGAAGTGTTTCAATAGGCAGTTTCTCTCTTGGGCCCTGATTGTTTACAGAACAAATTAGCTTCCTGTGCTTGTTTCCATTTAACAAACCATACACTGTATGTACAAGAAGTGCTCTGAGAACAGTTATATTCATGTCCTTCAGGCTAGAGAGGATTCTTGTTCTGTACTCAAGAGGGTTCATCTGAGTACCTCCTTAGGATGGCACAATTAGACTCCGTGTGCTTATGTGGTATTTTTCGTTTCTTACTGTATTAACTTCTTTCAGTTTATTTGTGTATCTTTCTGATTTATTTTTAGCTTTGTCCTGTTTCTCTAATAACATGTGAACTCAGATGAAAATCATGATGTTCAAAATGACTCAAAATTTGGCAAAGACAAATTTACCCAATCAAAGTGTTTAAAAGTAAACATGATGCTATTTAGGTAAAGCATGTGTTATTTGTAATGCATAAAGGCATACAAAATATGCTTGATATTTAAATACATTTTTAAACTTTTATTTCATGTTACTTTTCTAAAACATTAGGCTCTTTTAATTCTTCTTTATAATTGTATACAAAATTTAATTTCTATAGATAACTGGTACTTTCTAGCACATGAGACCAGGGATTTTTTGTACTTCTAAAAATCATATTATTTGCCTGTAATATTCTACAAAGACAGTGATAACTGTTGCATACTCCTGTTCCTCATTAGGGTCAGTATTTGGGTTTATGTGTGCTAAGACTCTGTATCTGCTGATTCAAACTCTTGCCATACTACTAAGAAATATTAGTCTTGACATGTTTTGAGAGCAAGTTTTCCTGCCTCAGAGACACAATGGCAGGGACATTTCTCTCTGTGCTCCCAGTTAGAACCACTTAAATTAATCTTTTAATATATAATACTCTGATCAGTATTGACTGTTGTTTATAAGGCTCTCAGCAGAAGTAGTGCAGGAAAAAAAGATTAAGGAAACACTGAAAAATATAGTTTTTTTTAACAGCACTGAAATAATACATGAGAGGAATGGTGTACTTTTAATGTGAGATTTGGAAATGCTTCGAGTTTTGTCTTTTTAACAGGTTTTTTTTGGTCATGGTGTTCATGGGAGTTTTTTTTGTTTGTTTTGGTTTGGGTATTTTGGTAGAGATTAGATGAATGAAAAGACATATGGAATAGACCAGTGGAAATCTACCTGTAAATACAAATCAAAAATTTTGATATAAAGAATCCAATCTGAAGTGGATAGTCATGTCTTGATGGTTGAGCACTCAGTATCTACACAGTAATGTAAGATACACCTGAAGAAGCTGGTAGCTCCTAATTTTTTTCAGTGTATTTGCATGACTTCGTACAAGGTGCTGTGGAGTTTACATTCAGTACAGGATAGCAATTATACATTTTATATTTCCAGCTGAGAGACTGGAGGAAATGTATTGTCTTATCAGTGTGACTTAAATTTCAGTACTGAGAAATTCAAGGAGGAAAAATTTCAAAGAGTTTGAACCAAAGAAGTGTTGCTAAAGTTTTACCTCTATTTCAGTATATATTTAAAAATAACATGAAAAAAGGTTATCTGAGGGTGTCTGAGTTTTCAAAATATTCAAAGAAATAACAGTGCCAGATGAGGCCCTCTCAATTTCACAAAGCTAAAGAGTTGTTGTCTTTCCATCCCCAAAATTATAGAGCAGATAGTAATTTTTAAAAAAAATATTTCTACAGTATCAATAATTCAGCTACTAAATTGGTCTTCTGACTCAGCAGCTGATTTTTCATATTCTGGAGCACTGGGTTTGAGGTAGATCTTTTGGGTACACATTCATTCAAAGGAATGGTTAAGGGACCATGCTGAACTTGTGAGAGAATCATTTTCCACTGCAAGACTGTAACAGTGAATATCTGCCAGAGACAGGTACAACTCTGTAGAACTACATGTGACCTGGAATTTACTTCATAGTATATCTTGAGCATTTAAACATGGTTAAAAATATATTCAACACAGTAGATGGCAATAAGCTAGAAGTCTACCAATTCAGTTGCTTTATCTCCTTTTCCCAGAAATATCTTTGTTCAAAGGGTTAAACTTTTGGTTGTGGTAGATGTGGAAAAAAAGATCTTTTCCTTGAGTTGTAGTCTACTTTTCCTCCTAAGCTTCTGCTGTATGAAGCTCTTTACACGTTGCAGTTTCTCAAGCTGCTGTACCCCTCCTTACATCTCATATTTAGTCCTTAGTTACCACTGTCAACCTTCTTTAAATGAGGGGTTCCACTGTTCAGGTTCTAATATTGTTAATGGTAGGGGAAGGGTACTTGTACTCTTTTTTTTTTTTAATCACAAAGTGGCTCTGTGGAACAGAACATTTTCTCAGTTTGTGTTCTGGATCTCTGGTTTCCTCAGCATGTATTAGCAAAAAAAAAGAGAATGATCTTTAACAAGCTGCTGCATATGTGTGTTATGCATCATTTTGCTAAAATGTGAATCTGGGAAATTAAGATCACCTTCTCTAAAATGTATAATCCTTTCTATATTTATTTTTATTTGGCATAAAAATTACATCTCCTCCTTTTCAAACATTATACCACAGTGCCTCCAGCTTATGCAGCTTGTCTCTCCATTTATCATTACTTAGTTTGCTCTTTATTTGAGTTCTATCATGGATTAGAAATTATTTTAGGATAATACTATATATGTGTCCATGTTTTTGTTTTGTTAAGCAGGAACCTATCTGGAAAATGAGAAATTTATCACAGTGAATACTTTGAGTGGTTAGCAGCAAATACAAACTTAACTTTTATATATTCTTTCTCACAAAAGCGAAGTTTGGATGTCTACACTAAGACAAGCAGTAATGGGGTTTGAACTTGAGCATCTTCTGTTTTGAATGTGTTTTGTGCAATGTTTGAGTTCTAACAAAGTAGTTTTGGTTTGAGTTTTTGTTGTTGTTGTTGTTGGTTTTTGTTTGTTTGTTTGGGTTTTTGTTGTTGTTGTTGTTATTTCTAAAGTGACTGTTTACGGCTGCTGAGATTTCTTGAAGGGAAAAGATGAAAAGTTCCTAAACAGTCAGAACCTCAAAGTGAGAAATCTCAACTAGGTATTGTAACTCCAGGATTCAGTTCCAAGGGGAGGACTGCAAAAATTCCTTGTAACTGTAGCGGCGGTGTTTGTGTGGTGACTGACAGAAGCAATACTTTTTTTAACAGTTAAGCACTATTCACTTCCCATTTGAAATGCAAGTTTTGGTCTTACAGATGCTTGGACTTTTTGTTTTTATTTTGCTAAGCTGTTTTTAGAGGCTATGTTGAATAGGATATTCAAATAATTCTGGCATTTTTCCTTAAGAACTGAGTGGAGTTTGAAAACTGGGTGCCCTCATCTATCCTTCCCTTTAGAAGGATAGAATTTAGAATTGCTTTTTCCTAACAGATTCTTGCTACGTTAAACAAATGAAGCCATATAACAAACATTTCAGTAATCAGGTCAACATAAAGTACTCATAAATTATCACCAAGCAGCTCTAAATCTGTCATAAACTTTTACTGACTTGCTCTCAAGAATGTTTATGTAATTCAGAGGAACTATAGAGAGGAAGTTAACTCTCCTTTTACAAGTTAAATCAACTACAGTGAGATGAAAAACACCCACACACTTGGCTTTGGATCAGAAGAGACATTCTTGAAAAGCAAACCTTTATGAAATCTTTATTATGAAATCAAATTATGAAAGCAATTTCAAGGTGTAAAATATTATCAGTTTTCCAGGTGTCGCTGACAGTACTCTGCTTGCATATTCCATGTATAACAGGGTATCACCTTGATCAGGGAGTTACAGATTTGGAATCATTCCAGCAAGTAAATTTTTCACATGGTTGGGAGCACAGATGTAGTGTGGGATATGTCAGAGCTGGAAAGCTTTGAAAGGGGTCCAAGGAGTCACAGTTCCACAGATGTGAAAAAATCATCACCACACCACCAAACCTGCTGAATGAGATGTTATCTTACATGATATTCCTTTAAAAAAGGTGTAGAAGCTGCAGTGCAATACAGATAAATATGTTAAGAGATCATGTTTATGATATTTAGAGTGCAAATTACAAAGTAAAGTATAAGAGCAACGGATAGGGGCTTTTACACCAGGGATTGAAATATTGATAAGTGAAGTAAATGAGAGATTGTTTAATATTAGACCTCTGTAATTAAAAAAAGAAGCTTATTCCATTGATCACAGTGACACAGTTGTGAAATACGATCTTGGAAAGATGGCATATTTTGAATATGTTAATCACAGAAATTGGAAATTGATAATCTTAACAGTTAGCAAGGATGCATTTGTTCACATTATAGAATTTTGAACTGCCAAGTCCAAATAATAAATAGCCATATGCCTGAGATAGATAAGATGAAGTGTCCCTTGAATCACACATGGTAAAATTCATCATACATTATAAAATTGATAAATTTTTAAAGGATTGTGAACCATGACAATTCTGGTGTTTTGAGAGGTGACCACAACAACTATTGACCTGAAATAAGTCCTGAGGAAAACAGTGGACTGGCAGGTGTGAGGTTATATGGAAAAGTAGAGCCTATTCTGAGCACCACAGAATTTTTCTAAGCATTATTGACTGTTGTGGTTTTATGAGAGATTGGTTTTGGCAAATGTTACTGACAGATTTCTAACTGTTTTGCTTGGGATTTTTATTTTTTGTGATTTTTATAATACATCAGTGTTAATACATGAGCTTTGGATTTCTTTAGGGAATTTGATTTATTATCACACCATATTTAGATTTAAAAGAGCTTCTATTCTGTAGCACACGTAGAGAACATTAGATGGATTAAAATATAGGTCACGTTATTGGTACAATGTTGTTTAATGGTTTTGTCCATGATCTATAAAACCTTGCATGATAAAGCCTATGAAGACAAGCAGTGAGAGTTTGGGCTGTTCAGCCTGGAGAAGAGAATGCTCTGGGAAAGGTGTTATAGCACCTTCCAGTACCTAAGAGAGGCTACAAGAGAGCTGGAGAGGGACTTTTCACAAGGGCATGTAGTGATAGGACAAGGGGTAATGGCTTTAAACTGAAAGAGGATAGTTTAGATTAAATATTAGGAAGACATTATTTACTTTGAGGGTGGTGAGACACTGGAACAGATTACCCAGAGAAGTTGTGGGTGCATCACCCTGGAGGTGTTCAAGACTGGGTTGGATGGGGCTCTGAGTAACCTGGTCTAGTGGAAGGTGTCCCTGCCATGGCAAGGGGGCTGGAACTAGATAATCTTGAAGGTCCCTTCCAACCCAAACCCTTCTATGATTCTATGATATACACTCTATAAATTGCCTAAAAGGTGAATTGCAAGAATAACTACCTATCACAATATGATTCATGTCTGCTCTCAACATCCACCAGCTCTGCTTTCTTACCTTATGGACAATCTTTGTCACAGAGAGTCTCACTGGCATTCTGAAGTCCACCATCTTGAGAAAGGTGGTGTGGGAATGAAAGTGTATGGTATCATTCATACAAAAGTGTGTGCAGTGGTATGTAAAAAGGGCCTGTGGGTGCATAAAAAGGATCTGTCTTGAAGAAGTGAGAAAGTGCTCTCTGCTTCATTAATAAGACATCAGTTGAAATAGTGCATATAGCTTTGGTAATTGTATTTCAGGGACAAAATCGGTTCAATCAAAATTTAGAAGAGTACCACAAAAAAATGATTCCTGGCTGGGCAAAAGTCTTGCAGTGTAAAGTTTGTGTTGGATTTGTTTTGTTGAATTGGAGAGAAGGCTGAGAAGTGACATGTTTGTGATGTGTGAGAGAAAGGCAGGACATGTCACTCTTGTCAACAAAAAGAATTATCTTTTTGTTTCCTTGCAGATTGCATCATGCAATGAATGAACTTCTGGATGGGGAACAGGTTTCCCCAAAGTCACATTGGCAGGAATATTTCACCCCATCTTTTTCTGTAGTAAATGGGGCACCAGCTGGAATTTCTGAGATCCTTCTCACCTAAGGACTTTTTGCCACATCATGGGGTGTGGATAATGTTGGCACTTTATAAGTTTTTTTTTCTTACTTCTTGTAGCAATCTGTTTAATTTTCTAGGTTTTTGAGGTATTTGGCCTAGGTAACCCTTGAAGTTTTATGTAGGTATAACTGAGTGAAATGTAATGGTTGTGACAGAGAGATGGCCATGGTGAATTATCTAGTATCTTTTCATATTAACCTCCACTCATGCACAGCATTCCAAAACACTTGTATGTTCCAGTAAATTCAATTCCAATGAAGAAGTGTTCACTTAATCCATCACTAATACTTTTATATGCTTATATAGTGTCTGGAAGGTAACTTAAAATATTATGTCTTCTTTGCAACATAAAGTCAAGAAATAAGTAGTGCTAGCCTCAATGATATACATTGGGATATTTTTGCTTAGGACTTGCCCAAGCCTGACATTCTGCATCCTAGCAGTTATCGTTATCCAATAATCACAGCTGGAAGAGTGAAGACTGCACTGCATCTAATGCATTTTTTAAATTAGTTTGGTCTATTTCTTTTTTCCTCATGGTGTCACTATAGGATAAAGTTAATGCTTATCAGGGATTCTCTCTACTAGAGCATATTTCCCTTTCCTTTCTTTCCCTCTTTCTGGATTTTCTATTATGTGTTTAGAAAATATGGTAATAAATTCACTGCCTTTGAATTTGGACATGTTCTCTCAAGCACTGGCCCATCCATAACACTGAGCATGAATTTTTTTTTCTTAAATAATATTAGAACAAATTTAGCTTTGTAGAAGGGTGTGGAGAATTTGAGCAGTTCTTCTAACAACTTGAAAGTAGAATTGCAACATTTAAGAAGACAAAAAGGGATGTATCTTACAATTAAGTGAGCTTTTGAATTTAAATCTGTGACAGACTTCTTCATCACACATAGAAACTATAAGGTCCTCACAGAATCACAGAAAGGAAGAGGCTGGAAGGGTCCAATCTCCCTCCTCAAGCAGGGTTGTCCTAGAGCACATTGCAGAGGATTGTGTCCAGGCAGTTCTCAAGTATCTTCAGTAAGCTTAATTTTTTTCTTATGTTATTTTAAAGTATTTTGAATTTGGCTTTTCTGATTGATAGAAAAATTAGTTTTCCTATACAAGCTCCCAGTGTCAAGAGAATATGGGAGAGAGAGAAAGAGAATTTTGTTTCTTTTACATACTGATAGCATTTTTGCCTGCCTAATTGTTATCACTTTACTCAGACCCACATTCTCAAATATATCTAGGTACTTGACTTCCACAGGAGAATGACGAAAGATGTAGCACTACATAAAAATTAAGTAGAACTGAAGAGAAATTTGCGTGTGCTCTTTACAAGAGCGGGAGCCAAACGGAGGTGCCATTTCCCACTCATGCATTTGGAGCACAACCTTCCCAAAAGGCAAGGACCATAGACCATTTTCTGCCTCTTCAGTAGGACAGCAGTGTTTGGGGCTGATTGCATTCAGGCTTGTAATGAGGATGAGTGTGACTGCCTAGTCAGCAGGAAGGAAATCATCCACCAGTTCTACAAAATCTACATCCAGTGTGAACTCTGGCCACAAGTGAAGCTTGTGGTACGTGTTTCAGTTAGCAGAGCTTGTGGTCAGCCTCTGTCTAGCTCAGGTTATCAGCTCAGGGCTGTGAAAGTTAACTAGAATCAGCATGTGATTAGCTAGAATCAGCAGGGACTTTGTGTGATAGGGTTTGTTTGTTAGCTTAGCAAAGAAGCTGGTTCACCTAACGAAGTTACAGAGCACTAAACAATTACAGAGCTTTTCAGTAGAAGCCTGAGCGTTATACCCCTATTCTTTCCAGTGAGATGAAAATCCAGTCAATAATTCTAGCCAATTAAGGACCCTTTTTTCTCCCACTCTCTTCAGATGGTCTCTTAACATGAGATAATAGCTATCCCTCTTCTTATCTAAATATGTTCCCTAATCCCTGTGCCATGTACTGCCACTTGTGTACTTGTCACTGCCACACGGTTCCTCCACAGAGTCAGTTGTTTTTTGGGCTGGTAGTTAGGAGACAGTTGAAGTTACTATTTCTAGATTGTTGTCTTGATGACATCTTAGACATTGTACTCCAGTGAAGTGTGAAGTGGGCCAGCTGAACAGTCACATTGAAAGAAATCTAGGGCAAAATTAGAGCTCTGCACGTGGCACAAACTGCCTGTTTTAACCTAGAATGGAAAAATAAACTATTTCACAGTTGGAAGTGCAAGTTTATTAGTTGTCTAGCATGCTGCTTCTTTTCCAAAGGACAGACAACCTGGCTAATTCTCTTCCTAATGGTTGCCATTTTGTGGCCATGCCAGTTTTTGGTGCTGAGTTGTTGGCTTTAAACTGCAAGGCACGTGTAACCTTGTTCTGCAGGAAAAGCAGCCTCTTGCAAACTGAGATACCAGAACTGGACATGCTGAGTGTTTCTTCCTGCCAGCTGTAAGCAGTGCCTCTTCTGGCTCTTAATAAATACCAGGCCAGTTTGGAGGAGTCACTGTGTCCAGTCTGAAATGCAACATCAACATCTGCTTTAGGAAACCCTCTAGCTCCGCAAACATAATGTTTCCTCAGGAGTTTCTCCAACTTTAAGCCTTCTCCCAGCACCAGCTTTTTTACCTTTCATACGTGGTGATACACTCCTCTTCCCACCTCAGCCCACACTGATTTCAGAAACGCTTGTTAGGCCTTGGCATTGATAAATGATAGCTGGGCCAAGCTTATCAGAAACATTGTCTGTCCCCAGGAACTTATGTTGGCTAATGAGCTCCTGTTATTTAGTGAACAGCCTTGGAAACTTATTTCTCCTGCCTGAATAACGATGCATGTGTAACAACATTTTTAGGATTGAATTTTCACAGAAAGTCACTGACCCGAATTGTGGCCAGGATGGAAAATTACTACGCTGAAAGCCAACTCTTCTGTGACCCAATAAACAGCAGTCCTAAGTAAGACCCTTAGAGTTCTCCTGGACGGCAGTGGGCTGTGACCAGAAATCTCCTTCTGAGTGGGACCCTTCTCAGACCCAGCAAACTCCCAAGTTTGCTCTACTTGGAGGATCACTGGCTAAAAAGCCAGCGACAGAGCCTGTGCTGAGACCCCCATTCCATGAGGCTCAACCCTTTGCCCTTAGAGAAGATGCAAAGGCATCCGACCTGATTACTTCGCTGAACTCAAGGGGAATTTTTCACAGGTATTACATACCTAGTACATACTCCTTTAGGTCTGTGTGCATGCAAGTGTGACTACACTACAGCAAATGTACTATGAATGTTGCTCTCTTAGATTCTTAAGTAGGTTAGATTCATAAGTAAGGCCTGTGAGTTACTGTTGTGCTTATTGTAAATTTTACAAAATATTTTCCTAAATTGTTTAAATTTTACTATCAATTAAGTGCTGTTATGTTCAAGAGCTGTTAAAACCTTTAGGCCTAAACCATTGGTTAAGTCTGAGGCTGAGTTTGGCAAGCGAGTCCACTCTGAATCTTGTGACTCATTTCTTTTTATCCTTACCCTTTTCCATCTTTACCCTTTTCCCATCCCCAGCCTCCATGCAGATAATTTTAGACTGATTTTAGTATTAGATTGACCGATTTTAGATTTTAGTCTTGATTTTTTTCTGTGTGCTTTAACCACCAAGTAAGCAGTAGAGTGCACTTTGCCAATGAACTTCATCGTGCTTTCACTTTTTTATTAAACCTGTTTTTGCTGATACCTTTGCTGGTGTTTCTTTGAGTGACCTAAAACACCCAGTCAGAACAGCATATTAGAGACCTCACCACCCAAGTAATTCTCAAAATCCTTTGTCACCCACACCTCATTTTGATTTGAATTTGCTTATCTGCTCATATCAAATCCAATCTATTTCTGTATCACCTCTCTTTTGCCTGTTCTCCACCCTCCTACTGTAAGACAGTCGTTGCAATTAACTCTTGGTTTGACAACATCCAAATACTCCAGTTTCTTCACGTACCCTTGCTGAACCAGTCCCATGGCAGAGGGGACCCTATGGACTTCTCTCCAACTGGCTTACATTTTATCAGTTAGTGAGGGAAATATTTCTTCCCAAGTCCCACTTTTCTGCAAATACAGAAGTGCTTTATGTCTGTCAATTGTTATCTTTCCTTCCAGTTTCAGTTTATCTGCTCTGGGGGCTTCTGTTCAGTGCCTTGCTGCATCCCCAAATCTTCACACTTATTTCCTGCCCTATCAGTCTTTCATCTATCTCATCTTTCATCAGTCTTGCTAGTCATCCTCAGTCTCTCTTGCCCCAATTATCTCTCCCAAACAAGTTCAGCTGCTTACTGTGCCACCTTACCTGCTTGACATCTCTTTGATAAACACAGATCAAATTCTTCCCGCAAGGTGCCAGTTCTTCCTGTTGTTTCACACCTTTCCTTTACATCTGCTTAGAGTTGTGCTGCAACTCCTATCTCATCCTTCTTTAATTTTAGGGGTCACTCAGCTGCATAAGAGGTGCCCCAGTTTTATACCCTGAAAATCTGGCCACTCTGTACTTTGTGTGCCTGAAGTGAACGTGTTTTAACGTAACTCCCTGCAAGAATCTTTACAGGGTGCAATTAAATATGGGAAGTCAGCAGTTGAGTAGTGCATGGAAGAACCAGTTAATTAGGGACTTTAAAGAGTGAAGTATTTACCATATGTAAATAAAATCTGTATTCCAGACCAAAACTGTCTCCACAGCAATTTCTGGATTTGCTCAGTGCAAGATCCAAAGCCCAGGGAAATGGGAGGGGAGGACCTTGTACGCATTTCAGTATCCTTTGCATCAGGCCACTTATTTCCTTTAGCAATGATAAAATGATGCACAAAGCGCTGGGACTGTACAACTTCATTTTATTTTGTGTGCTTTTATAGGATATAAATAAATGACAAAATTACAAAATTTATAACTGGAAGCCCAAGCATATTTACAGAAGTCTTTGTTGCAGTGAGGCTACTATTTACTGTTCTCCTATACAATTTTCCTTTTGGTACCATATTTTTAGTGTTATTTTTTTTACTGTCAGTTGACTAAGTACATATCAACAGTGAATAGGCAAAAATATGTACAAGGAACTATTTTGTTCAAGTAAATTGAATACTGTATTAAAAGTATGTCATCACTCAGCGCTATGATTAGGTGTAACTAAACCATATACAATTATCAGGTTTAAACCAAGTTCAATTATCCATTTTTTGGAATATACCAACTGATGATTCTAACTGAAAAACCTCAGCTGGATATGAAATAATAATTAAAAAAACATTAAGACAACCACACAATTTTTCAATATCTCTATAATGAACTTCAAAATGATTCACAATTTGACTGGATAGAACAATATACGTTAAAATGTCATTTTTCTCCTATAATGATATTTGTACTGTTATAATTTCAGTTCTACATAAATATACATCATGGTATTATACAAATACTCCACAGACATTAAAAAAATTAAAACACTTCAAAGAAAAAGTAAGTAAATCTTATTTAATCAAATATTAAGCAAATGCTTAACTTTTGTTTCATGAAAACATTTTTATTACTTTGGAATTTTTTTCTTTTTCTCGATATTTTTATTTAGAAAATGTTTTGCAATAGAATTTTATCAACACTCTTCCAAACAAGCTTTCTGTGACAGAAATCTTGATAGCAAAATCCATGGTTTTGACTTTTTTTTAGAACCACTGAGATTAATTTTAAAAATACTAGTAGAATTCATGGCTATAGCAATGTTGAACTGCATAAACTATATGTAGGTGTAGTAGAATGACCATTCCACTTTCATTCCAGACTGGTCACATGGAACATCCAGTGCACTGATGCTACAAGTCTTACAATTTTCATAATGCTGCATTAGCAGTCGTTTACTTAACTTTAAAATAAACAATATTTCTCATAATTAATCTGGCTTCCTTCCATAAATATTCATATGCTTTCCTATAGTACTTCTCTTCCATAAAAATATCTAATAAATGTTTTCTTTGCATTATTAATACCTTTTTCTAACCATTCATAAAACTCTGATCCTTTGCTACAATGCAAGAGGTTCTTATTTCTGTAGAGGATCAAAGGACATCAATTATTACATATAAAATCAGCGCACACAGAAATCAGGGTACCTAATTTCTCGTCACTTTAATGAGTTCCTTATTCAACACAGTAATTATTAATGAATTCAGTGGTTTCACAAATAATCTATTTATTAATTCTGGTTCTATTTCAATTAAAAACTGCCAGGATTCAAATAAAAAACCCAATCAAATACTCTACTCATAGGCAGCATTAGTATTAGTTTAGAGACCTTTTGTTTTTTTCTTTAAAAAGTAGAATCCTAAAATAAGAAATCAAAGAAAGCACTGTGGCAGAGTCACAAGGGAGAACTGCGTGAAAAATAAGGTTTCTCACTCCTCTTGTGGACTGTAATTTTAAAAGTCTTCATATAGTGTCATTCTTCTGTCAGTGCTGCAGGAAGAAGAAGATCACCAGAAATGACTGTCAGCCTTTTTTGTTAGTTACAAGGCCACCATACAGTGCAGTCTTCCTCTCTGCTGGATTGAAACGTTGCCATAAAGGAAAGGCTGTGCTGTGACTGCTTGGCGTGCAAGGCACAACAAGGAACGGGGGGACAGTTTTGTATCAGAAAATTGTAGTTTCATACTTGGTATTAATGCCTCTTTTGGCCTCTTGTCCAGGTTCAACAATCCACGGTAGATTCGCAAGAGTCTTTTGTTCAGATGGATCTATCTGCTGTAAGACAAACGCAAACATACACACGGGTTACCATCTCTGTGCACAGCAGCTCCAGCAGAACTTTTTTTTCTTTAAACCAACAGAACACAGAACAAATCCTGAATGGACAAAGTCCTACAGCAGCGAGTATGGTGGTGTCTACACTCCCATGTACTCACGGCTGCCTTCGTCTTCCTGTGGAGATCAGAGCTGTGTCTACCCCCAAGCTATAGGGCACCATAGTTCGTTAAAGCCACGCTCGATCCTGAGAAGTCTGTTTGCTAATGAGACAGACGATAGCATCAGGAAACGTTCCTACTTACAGTTTTATGGAGGAAGATTCTGTGGCAATGGATGACAAAGTGTAAAGTCATACATTTTTTTTTTCCCCGTTCTCTCACCCAGTAATTAAATATCGCAGAGTACAGTCCTCACTTTATAGCCAGTGAATATGATACAGTGTGCAGTCATTTTTCTCCTTTCCCTCCAAAATCACCCTATGCCTGTATTTTCACTTGATTTAAAATAGCTTTCATGATTCTTTTAGAAGTTCTACCATAAAAGAATATTTCTGTCATCTCTGCACTTCGGGAGGGCCCTTTAAAGACAATCAATATGTAGGCTCCAATGGTTTCTTAGGAGTCTGGGGTTAATACTGGAAAGGTATATTGAATCCCATTTTTGGGATAGGAGGTTCTGGCTAGGATCAAAAAAAAAAAAAAAGAAAAGGGTATGAAAAGAAGTTGCTTGGTCTGACAGGATAGTTGTAAGTTGATTTGGATTTGTAAATTGATTAGGATACATATGCAGTGATCATGTTCCAAATGAGTTAGGTGCATATTTTATTTCTCAATAGGACACCAGGAAAGTCCATGGAACCACAGAATTTGAGAGGTATGCTGTGATCCTTAGCACTTAAAAAAGCACAATACGTTGGAATTAGACTGAATCAACTGAAGCTCTGCAATTACTATAAGAGACAGATACACAACACTAGCCAAGCAACATCTTAAACTGGAGGAATCTGAAATAAGCAGTTGTTTGAAACAGCTGCCTGTGCTGAGGTGACACAACCCTGCCGTCTGATGAGCAGAGTTGACACAGTGGAACATTTCTGACTCAACAGGTATTTTATTTGTACAGCTTCTAGTATATAAACTCTTAACTGTATAGCTGAATTCTGGGTTTTTCTGCATGCATAACTACCTTCTACTTACCACTGACTTCCGAATACTAACACGTGGTTTGGGAATAGGTTTAGAGGGTTTGTTTTCAAAGCTTTCTGGGAGGGTTGAAGAATGGCCCCCTTTTCGTGCTTGTAGTGCAAGCTGATAGGCCACCTCAAATGCTTGTCCTAGTGTAAGAATGATTTCGTAAGCTAAATTCTGGAACAAAACAGAAACAGTTAAAATTAGAGTGAGCTTGTATTACTGTTGGATACATGAAGTGGGGTAATACTGTCTACAGAAGTGATTTGCAATGTAAATAATTAAAGTCATGCTGGTAATACAGTCTCTGTAATGTTTACATTTGTCATTTGATTTCTCATTGATTAAAAACAATCTACATGTAATTTATTGTATTGAAAGTAATTACTTCTAAAACCCTTGAAAACATTGTCTCCTGGAAACGGGAATACGTGTCATCTCTTTTCAGAACAAGTACATTAATCGCTCCACCTTCCCAGCTCACCCCATATCTGCTGCTGTCATGATCCCAGCCCTCTTGCACTACTGCTCCTATGTGACATTTGGCCTCGCTCTATTTCGGAACTCTTCTGCTGACCTGTCCTTCTCGTGCTGCTTCCCTGGCTACATGCCTTGGGATGCTCAGCAAACAGCATGGGAGGAGGTGGCAGCATTGGTGCCATGCTTCCAAAAGGACAAAAAAGCCAGCGTTGAAAGTGTATATTCTGCTTCACAGATGCTGTGCAGCCACACAGGCATGAAAGTCAGTGCACCACTCTGGATGTGCGCCTCAAGGGCTGGAGAAACTTTCTCATGGTTTTGTCTTCTAGAAGCAAAATTGTTTGAGCTTAAACTGTCATGTAAGAACACTCTTGTAAGCAAGGGGAGGGGGGTTAGTGTGCATAACCAGAGAAGTCAGGCTCTTAAGCCTGATCGGTTTGGTGTTATAGGTAAAATGCTTTCAATCCTCATTGAATATGGGGAAGAAAACCTGTTGAAAGATTTATAAAGCATGAATGAGCTATCAGAGGATTGGTATAAATATTTTTTCAGTACAGTTTTACATCAATGAAAAAGCAGCTGCAAGTTTCAAATTTGACCTTAATCTAAATGGCAAGTGAATTCCTATGGTAATTTTTCTTCAGGTTTGTGGGTTTGTTTTGGTATATTTATTTCTGGGTTCCTACTAGAGCCTATTTTTAGGCTCCAATTAGAGCCTGTTTCTGGGCTACTAACTTTGCAGTAATGTTTTGAACCTCTGCAGAGCAAATGCAAGCCTGCAGGCTTGCCTCCTCATGAAGTCCTACAGTCCCCCTAGAATTATTCATAAATCTTTGATGTGATTCAGAAGTTACCCGCTCCTTCCCTCAACCTCTGTAGCCCGTAGTTGGAAGCAATTCTGCATTGCTTTGAAAGGATGTGATCCCTTAAAATGCCCACGTTTCTGATACAATTTTAAATGAGACGTCTTTACCTAGTCAAGTCTGACTGTTGCGTTTGCAGTAAGTCAGAAAGCAATGCAACACACTTGGAAGTACACAATTTGTCCTTCAATTGTTAAAACAAAGTTAAAGGGATAAGCATTTTATTTCATGTCCTGCACTTTCACTTTCCTGAAGAAATTCAATCCCTTTTTTATCACACGTGTATACTGAGACAGTATAGGCTAAATTCGGCATATTTAGCTCATTATAAGAGCTTCTTATAAAAGTGCCAGCTCTGGTCTGTGTTAGGTCAGAAAGAAAACAATTATACTCCTCCACTGGGACATGCTCTCAGCTGTTACAACTGCAGTTACAACAGCAAGGCAGCCAAAGTTTCATAGCTTCCCAAATAAAAATGTCTGCCTGATTTGATAGCTGTAGTCTCCAAATTATCTCCCCTTTAACTCCAAGGGAAACTGGCCAGGACTGAGAAACACTGAGGATGCAGTTTGCCAGTGTTGTAATAAAAGGAAAACTAAAGAGGCTATTATAAAGTGCTCTGCCTTTTAGCAGAATACTGGCTATAGAATTAAAAGCAACAGAGTATAACTGTTAAAAAAGTAGAGAATAATATAATTTGAAATGGAGCTTGCTTTTTAGTAGGACAAGAATATTAATCTAAAGACAGATGTCTTTAGAATCAGCTGTTGTGACAGTAAAAGGGCATACTATATCATCATGGGATTGTCTAGAGTGGGTAACATTATTACTAAGGAATACATCAGCAGGACAGGGTGTAGTAATGGCTTGCAGAAAATGCAGGCTGCAATACTAGTAGGACTTAGAAAATACACCATCCAGTGAGGCCTACCAAAACGTCACCAAGACAGGCTTGAAAATCTCTAAGATAAGCGTGGAGACAGACTAAAAGTTTGACATGCTGAGCCATAAATCTACTCTGAGTCCTGCATCCCATCTGAAGCCACTATAATTTGTTTTCCTTTGTAGTCTGTAAAATAAAAAATAGGCCTGCCTGGAGCCTGAAAGCCATAAGAAACATGTAACTGTTTCTCTGGTTAATAAATATTTGAAATATAGCAAATAGAACATTCAGTATTCTGTTCAATATTCGAAATGCAAACTGAACTGTAACTGGTACATAAATTTCATACATCGTGTACTGCGGTAGAGCCTTGACAAAGGGAAGTCTGCAAATGGAGGCAACGAGGGCTTTAACATTGTACCTTGTAAAATTTAAAGAACTTATCTGAACAACTGTGTTCTGAAAAAAAACCCACAGGTAAATAAGCTTGGTTTGAGGTATTTCTCACCTGTAGCACTGGGAGAGGATTATAAGGATTAGAGTTGGTTGCAGGGGCTACACTGGAGAGGTAAGAGCAGGATTCCCTTGGGAATAGGGGTGGAAAACCAAACCACAAAATCCATTGTGGAAATCCTTCTGATGGAGTAAGGAAACTATTTGAACTTTTGACATGGGGCACAAAAGGAAGGATACAGGTCTGCCTCCCTGAAAGACGCTTAGCACCAAAGCTGTAGAACCCCTGGCCGCTGTAGAAGACACTGACCTTCACAGAACCCCATCAAGCTCTTTAGAAATGGGGCAAAACATTTAGGACTGCGGTGCTTCCAAGGCTGCTACAATCCTGCTCCTTGCTCAGTCCAGCAGAGAAGGAAAGTGAGTAAGCCAAGGCCTTTAACCAACATTTTCCGGGAGATGAGAAATGAGGTCAATTGCCTTGTTTGCTTTGCGATGTTACAATTCAATGCCCCAGTGCAAGCCTGAGTCAGGATTCTTCAGTCACTTTAACTCTATTCATAGGTGCATTGGGCAATGAAAGAATATCCATAGAAATTATTCTGTATGTCTCCAGTACACGAACCAGATTTTGGTATGGGATAGTTATGGTGGTTTAGGATGTTATGATGGTTTGTTTCTCCAGGGGGAATCCTTCAAAGGTAGATTTAAACCTATTTAGTAAGTGAATGAAAGTGGATTTCAAATATTGAGCAATAAATCCTCTTCTTCTCCCAAACCATGTCTCCTTCAATATTCTTTAGTCAAGATGTTTTTTGCAATTTTGATTACAGAATTTTAATTCTGAGTAGACAAGTTACATGTACAACTATTCTGAAATAGTATCAGAAATGCTGGTGGTTGACATTACTAAAATACTTCCCTATCTACGAATAAATTGTTCTTGCCCACATTTCCCAAGAAACTGCAAGACCTGAGAGTGATTTTTTCCCCTAACATTGCATATATTGTATTGTCATAATATATATAACTAAAAATGCATATTTTTACACCTTATTGTGGATTTCTACCATTTAAAACGGTTTCTTTCTTGACATGATTGGACTTCTATCCATTGGCAAATGAGTAGGATTGCATCTATTCGTAAACTGGGAGATCAGGCTCTAACATGAACATTATTTTAAACAGAAAATTTAATTCACTCTATGCTTGTGCTCTGAATATCTAGCTATTTTTCATACAGCTTGTACTTGCATCAAAAATGTTAGATCCTGAGAAATAAAACAACACAAAAAGGGAATATTTGAGTAGGTAACGCCCCACTGAGGATTATGTTGCAGGAGAAAACTAAGTTATGACAGTTTGACATTAAAGTTTCTGTATTGCTTAAAATAGCCATTTAAAGTGCTTGGGGTATTAAATGCTCCTCCTTAGATACAGGAAGTGAGCAAAATGTAATTATTCCTGGATCACTTTTCTTCCCTTGCCAAGAAAGGAGATGAATTTTATCTGCCATATACCTGAGTCTATGTTTGTGCTTGATTATTAAACCTATAAATGAAACTGCAGTACTTCAAAACCATTAAGAAGTATTTAAATGGATGAGGAGAAATAATAACCTCACTCAATCAGTCTAATTTCAGCTGATTCACTTATCACTAAAATCTACAAAATGGAACATTTTGTTGACCATTGTGTAGCTATTTTTAACACAATTTAAAAGTTTTGTCTACTCCCTGAGCACACTAAAACGCCCACAGAGAATTTAAACAACAGAAGCACTCACCAAAATGCTAAAATTGCTTCTAACCTACCTGTACATCTTGTTATTTAAATTCTCCTACATGCTATTGCTGTGCAATGTTAACTATTCCCCCAGTCCCAAATAAAATGCCGCCATTCAGGCGCCTCTATTTCTTAAACTTACTTATATTCATATAATCATGTTTCAAGAATTCATACACATTATACTATACTAAAATATTTTTTCTTGAATAATTTTGAAGTTTTAATAGCACCTTAAATTTCTCTTGTGCACAACTCAAAGTGCAAGTACTCCTGAAAATTTTGGACAATAAATCTTAGTCCTAAAAACTATAGCTACCACTTATTTCACCAAATTAAGCTGAAAATGGCATGACCGATTAATTGATATATTCATGATTTCTTGGAACAATAATAATTTGTGCATCCCCATCTGAGAAGCATAAATATAGGAAAAACTGAGTAATTTTCCACCAAAATAATAGGAGTTCTAAGGACTTATGCTGAAATAACATTTTGAGATATGTAGGCAAGAAGACTGGAACAAGGAAATAACAACTGAAGAAATAATTTGCTATTTTCAAAATAAGAATATCTTTTTGAAAAGGTAAAGCTGCTGCTAAAATAAAATTTCACCAAATTCTATATCTCTCTTAATTGTCAAGCTAAAACTCTCTCTGACATAATGGAGAGCAGAGCAGAACAGGGACCATCAAATAATAATAATTTCTGTTGTAACAGACATTTCAACTCTTTCAGATTCAGTGTAGTAGCCAAATATTCCTAGAACCGCTTAAAGTATGTAGTTAGCTACCTGTGTGCTCTCTCTCAGATCTGTGTTTCGGTCCTCTGGCTATAACAAATACAAAACTTCTCATTCGTTTTCTACACATTTGCAGAAGAAGCTTCAGTTTTCCAGTTTATTCAGTATAATGCCAAAAAGTCTAAACAACATTTACAGAGATGAGTAATTGGGACTGATCCAGCTTAACAATGGAACACTAAAAGTCATGGAACAGCAGGGTAAGAATCACAAAATATTAGGATGGTTTGGGTTGAAAAGGATCTTAAAGATCATCTAGTTCCAATCCCCTCCTGCCACAGGCAGGAACACTTTCAACTAGACCAAGTTCCTCAAAGCCCTGTCCTGCCTGACCTTGAACACTTCCAGGATGGGGCATCCACAATCACTTTGGGCAACCTGTTCCAGTGTCATACCACCTCATAGTGAAAGAATTTCTTCCTAATACCTAATCTAAACCTACCCTCTTTCAGTTTAAAAGAAAAAAATAAATCTGAAGAAATCACTCCTGGTGGTAACATCTGACCTCTTGGTCCAAAAAGCAGCCTCCAACTACTTCAAGAAGGTGGGATGTGTCCAGGCTCAGAGGGCTCCCTGAAGAAAGTTCCGACCCTCTAGCTGCTTGTTGGGGTGTATGGGATGGACACACAAGGGTGAAAACCCAAAAGGCCGGATGTCATCAAATCTGTCCTTCCCTGACTGCCCAGGCAGTACAATGCAGAAAAACATACAGGACGCTCTGCAAACATAGTTTGATTTAGTTCCTGAACCTACCTCTTGGCAGGAATGAGCACTGTATATAATGCACATGGACCCTTTTCTGATTTGCTTATTTGGTGTACACTGAGATTTCAGAATGGGTGGTCAAAACTGCTTGCTACAAACTTGGAAGGTTGTAGCATAAGAATTACATGTCAAGACTTGTCTGAAAAGCTACTCGTTAAGTTTACAGTCAACAGCTGCAGTGACAGAGATGAGTTATTTCATACGGAAAATGAGATATCAAAGAAAATCTTTGCTCCTCTCCAGAAACATCCTTTTGATATCCCATTAGTCTTTTCATGTGGTAAATGAATAGTACCTTCCATTAATCACCATATACCCTGAAAACATTTAAAAAGAATTAAATAACTATTACTATTACAAAGAACTCTTAAATGAAGTATGTTCTATAAACTGACCACATCAAACGCAGTGAATACATGGCAGTAGTGGTGATTAGTCTTCAAGTCTTTAGTGATGTACGCAAATGTAGAAAGGTCCTCGGGGTCTTGTGCAGCACAGGAAATGTTACGGATTTCATGTTCAGCAATGATATTCTGTTTAAAAAAAATATTTGCAATCAATTTAGGAATTAAATTTAAAAGAGCTGTAGGAGGTGTGGGTTTAGATTCACATTTATATTGATCTGCTGTACTGAGGTATTTCAGAAATGTCTTAGTAAGAAGAGATTCAATATACCCCGTGTGTGATCTTACGTAGGTATTTGCAATTTTGATCCTTTTCAATTGCCAAAAATCTTGTAGAAAACCATTATGTTCTAGAGTCTTACCTACGAGGCCACTTGTGTTTTGTACATTTTATTTAGTATCTGTTGACAAAGAATCCTATTTTCTGGCATACAGCTATGAATACTCTTTCAAAGCACTACATGGGCATCTTATGAAGTTGCTGGTTTTTTGTGTAATGATCAAAACGGGACACTGTTTCAGTCTACTGACAGACAGGATCTGGTGAAACCTCGCAGGCTCAATAGCCAGGTTTTTGCATGTGGTGTCTGACAAATTTTAGCTATACCTTTTCAAGAGAAAAAAACACCAAACATGACTTATAACTGAAACCATGAGATATTGAAAGACTTCTGATTACTAAAAAGATAACTACAGGAGGATCTGGCAGTTTCTCTCCACTTACTGACAAGAGCATCCTGTAAGAGAGATATAGGAAAATGAAACCATTCATGCACCGAGCCACACTACTTGCAACAGCCAATGTAAGCTATAGCACACTACTGAGATAGAGGTGGGGTATGTCTGTCTGATGAAATAAAATAAAGCTGTCTTAAAGCTTTGGAGAAAATTATGAATATTCATTACAGAAATTGCTGATATGTAATTATTGTGTTCAGGCCAAAGGAACCATGAAGCCAAAGAATATGATACTGCAGAGTGGCTTATGATTAGGCCTTGCTTCAGCAACACACGCATTTGAAAGGGTTTATTTCAACAGAAGAATGATTCATTGAATAGGAATTTACTTAGCAGGTATGCTTTCTTGAACTGTGGCCCTGCTGGCTGTAGCTCTAGCATTTCCACAAAAGCCCAAAGTGATCAAGCCTGCTGCAGCATGACATCGCTACTGCATCATGGAACATGTGACATCCGAGGTGTCCCAGTTCCTTGCACAGCCACCGCTTACCTTGGTGGCGTCTGTCCACATTAAAACAATCTCTGAACATCTCTGGTTTTCCCTCACCCCTCTCTTTTCCTTACCACCTCCTTTCCTCTCCCTCTTTTAAAAAATTTTTTGTTTAATATATGCAACTAAATCACTTTAGATGCTTTGTCATATCTTCTTTCATTTGCTAAGTGGCAACTTTCCCTCTTGCATGTAGGTGTCAAGTTATCAAAAAAACAGTAATATATCTAATTGAAGAAATCATCGCTTAGGAAAAATCTTAATAAAATGCATTCCAAATTTCAAATTATGGAAAAACCGAGATAAGGAAAATGTTACTGAAGAAATGAAATAATCCTCTTAAATTGTTGCAACATACTTGATTATTTCTGTTTAATGCATTATTCATAAAAATGACAAAACCAGTACTTATGTTTCAATATATGCCAATTTATAATGACATGAATAATCTCTGCTTAACAATTGCTTGCTTTTTATGTTACTTGAAGCATTTTATTTTCTTTGTTCTCGAATTGATAACTTTTACCCTCACTAAAGATTCTGATGAGAATTAGAATTATACCAAAACCAGGGATTTAGATATCCAGATAGACAGAGCTGTAATACACTATAATTGATGTGATGTTGACAACACTGTAGTTTAGAAAGCAGAAAGAATTAAAGCTTGGAAGGTCTTAAAATCATATGTGAAGTATTTATGCCAAATCATGAGCCACAATGGAATCACCTGAATTTATGCAGCATATGTGAAAAGAGCTCTGCTATGCTGCAACTTTTCTAGGTGAACTGGGGTTAACGCAGGGATTTGCACTTTAGTCAAAACTCAAAGAGATTATTTTAGTATTTTAATTATAAACCAAGTGAATTTTAGAAATATACACATATCAAGTTTGTTTTAAATAAAATAAAGTATAACTAAACTGGATGAATCTTCTGGATGAAAGCTGAATTTTTTCCTAGCTGCTATAGGACATCCTCTGTGATCTCCTTTCAAAATCAAACATTTTTCAGTGCATGTGTTTATTGCTTCCTAGGGTCACTATTTCAGTAGACCCATAGTCTTGTTCTGTAGAAAGCAGAAGGCTATGAATCTGCTCGCTGTTCTGGGTAGGCTCCTCAGGCATTGACTGACACTGTACAGTTGTCGTTCTAAAACTGTCTCTAAGTTTGGCAAGAGAAACTTCTGGTTTCTCAAAAAGCAGGGATGCTGAAAGTCAGTTCTGGTTCTGCCAAGGAAATACCTTGGAAAGACCAGGTTTTTGCTAAGCAACCTTCCTTTTGCTCGCCTACCTCGTGCCAGCCAATCTCCCTCCTGGCAGAAATCACCCAGAAGACAGAGTGAGCTGTGAGCCACGAGAAAATTCTGCAAGTCTGCTTTTTCCTAAGCAGCAATTTCTTTCTGGCCTCACTTGCAAAGAAATGGTGTCATGTCAAAGTGGTGTCATGCCAAGCTTCAAGGCGCCACTGAAATAGCTGTCGAGGAATGAGGTCAGGGCCCCTTCATCACCTGAAACTTTGCCTGCTATGACTTGGAATACAAATTCTTAGCTTGGTGGTATAAAGGAAAAGGATGAACAGCCATGAGAGCTGAGTTTTCAAGCACAGAACTGCTAGCTATTTTTGTAATTAAAAAGTATGCATTTATTGCTAAGTGGTGCCCAGCGCCGTCAACTATAAGCTCATATGGAAGCAGTACAAGTCTGAATAGGATCTCACCTTAGTGCTAATCTGTTTTGGGTCTTGAAGGAATTAGGAACAGCACACTGTGGACAAGGATGATAACGCTTCTGGGAGAGTTGCAGGCTATTACCTGGTTTTTACAGAAGGGAAAGGCAGTGCAGATTTTGAACTGGAGAGAAAGCAATCTACCACTTGAGAAAAAACACAGGACTGTGGCATTATTTACCTCCATCAAAACCATCCCTTGCACTACTAGGCATAAAGTTTCAGTGGGACTCGTGTGGAGTCATCTAACGCAATTTGCCAAACTTCTTTCAAGTTTCCATCTTACGTAAGATTCTATGCACTGTACGAAGAGACAGGGGAAGCTCCTTTTGTTCTCCTGATTTTTTTTGGTAAACCTAAGGACATTGCAGTTACATCCTTTACGCTACAGAGGAGATTTAAGAGCTGAAAACAGCATTATCCAAGTTAGAGTTAATAGCATTACAATGTCCTGATTTATGCCCTGCACATCAGAGAACATAAAGGAAATGAGGGTTGTAGAAGCTCAGTTTTGAATCAGTGGAAGAAAAAGGAGCTGACAGGAATCCCTGGCCCCTCTGCTCTGGCAAATGCCAGACTTGACACAACAGTAATTTCACCTCACTTTTTCTTTTGTGCTGTCTTCTAACTCTAAATGTGGTTTCCAAACTCTAGCAGAAGTTCACAAATCTGCTTCCATCCTTCACTTAAAACCCAGTTTTCTTTAAAAACCTGATTGATTTGGCAAGTTTGATGGATACTGGGTTAGACGTACTGCGTGGTCTGAATGTTCAGCAACACAAAGCCACTCTACTCATTATTAACCTAGTCAGGTAGTTGGGTTGTCAGGTTTTTTTATATTGCTTAGTGAATTTTAGTCACATAACAGAAAAGATAATTTATTTTCTATTCATATGAAAGTATCAGTATGGATTGCAATTTTTTGCCACTTAAAGTATCCAAAGAAGAGAAATTCACGCATTACTTTACTCCTCCTTACAGAGCCTGTACATTTCACTTTGCCTAAGCATCAATCCATTGCTCTATCCATCACTGAGTTCTCCAATCTCTCAATTTCTGCTTTTGTGGTTTTGGTTAGTTTGGTTTTTTTGTTTTAAGATTTTGGATGTATTTTAAAACATAAGAAACAAAGCACAGGAGCATTGCCACACAGGAAGATGAAAAAAATATGGAATAACAACTGCTAAGAAGCTGTTGCAGATCAGGGAGTTAAGTGGCCAGTGCCAGGAAAACAGCTCACAGAGAGCTTCTACAATTTTTCAAAGGACATTTCAGGCTCATGTTTCTTATTCTTAAAATGACTGGCCCTGGATAAAACCATGTATCTTTATTTCACTGAGACTTTTTTTTAATTATTTGCCCAAATTATATTAATGAACAAACAAATAAATAAATAAATAAAAAGGATTCCACAGAGGCTCCCTGCCAAATGCCTTTTGTGATAAGCTTGCCTTTTAATGGAAGAACGCTGGACACAATGTTCTCCAAATAAGCCATTAAAACTGCTTCACTTGTCCTCCAGACTGAGTTTCTGAAGAATGGCAACGACCTTACATCCATTTTGGAGAGAAGAGGAGAAAAAAAGGAGAGGAAAACGCGAAGTGCAAATCTGTCCCCTTTCTGCCCTGGGCCTTATAGGTATTACTATTTCTCCTAGTTGTGAGAAATAAAAGCTAGTATTGAAAAATCGCACATACCTTATTTGTGGCATCAATAAATTTGACTCCTTTATAAGAGACAGACAGGACAATGGTTGGTACTTTTTTCATTTGTTCTGTAGACTTCTGAAATCAAAATGAAGATGTTATTAGACTTGTGTTGCATTGCAAGAACAGTGCTCTTTTCTTCTGATAAAATACCTAAGTTAAACAAGTATTTTACTTTTTCTTCAGCTGACTATGCTCTGAGCTTTTGAAATACCTGCCTTGCAGTTACAACACCAAAAAAACCCAAAACAAAACCAAAAGCATTAATTTTGTTATAAGGATGGTAAAAGTTCTCGTTTTTCCTAGCACAACAAGAAGAGAATAAAGTAACTTTGCCAGGCTTAGACAGACGAGTCATGGAACCAGCATTTCCCAAAACGTGTGTGTTTAGGACATCTACCTGCTATGCCCCATCCGTTGCTGCCTCCCTCCCCTCCTGCCCTTCCCAGCTGTAAAAACCAACAGTGTGGTACCTCTCGTAGTACCATTTCTTTTCTGTAATTAGTTGTTATTTAGAAATATTTCACTCTTTTGCCTTCTTGTAGTTGTATTTGTGACATGAACTATCCCTGCAACCCTCTAGGCCTGCCAGTCAATCCGTCAGCCTGACATTGTATCTTGTCACGTCTGACCGTCTGCACTTTGAGTGCAGCTGCTCCTGGAAGCTGCTTTACACATGAATTAGCATGGAGACTTATTCTGCATTCCCTCAGTGCCAGGTTCTCCTACCTACAGTTCATGCCTCCCTAGAAGATTGTTTTTTCTTTTATGCTAGTTTACTTCAGTGTGCCTTCATTATGATGCACATAGCAAAGATATTTCCTGCTGAACAGACTGGGCAAATATCTGTGTCAGGTCTAAGTTCTCTGCAGAAAAAAATGTTGTTTACAAATTAAATTTACTCAAACTACCCCAAAACCAACCAACGAAAAAACTAAATATGGCATAATAATTTACAGCTGATTTGAATTCTTTTAAGGTTGAAGACAATGATGGACTATTCTATACACAACCACTGTAGATAAATAAATAAAATAACATTCAGAGAATACTTATTCATAAGAGCATTTTCAAACAATCACAGAGATCAATCAAATATTTTCTTGAGAGGAAAGAGTAAGTTCAGTTACAGGTAAATATGAAGAAACATCAGCACAGGTGTGTAAGGAAAGTGTAAACATGCTGAAAGGTCTAGAATTGGCACTTAGGAAGATCATTAGAGCCGCTGAACAAAAGTAGCAGTGGTGGTTTTGTATTATCCAAGAAAAATAAACAAGTACAGTTATAGGCTTGAAAACACAGACTGTAACTGAAGAAAATATGTTTTAAAAAATAGGTGATGCTAACACTAGAGAACAAAACAAAAGCTTTAAATAAAAAAAACAACCAAACCAAAACCACCAAACCCCTACAATCAAGTCTCCTTATCAGCTCTCAATCCTTCCAGAATCAAACAAGACTCCATTTTTGCCAGCATGAAACTCAAAGCTACACATCCAGCTACATTCTGCAATTAATCTCCATGCCATGAAGACTAAAACCTCTAATTAAAGTTTCAATGAGAGCCCCACCCATTTGTGTAATAGAGAGGACTGCTGGATCTCTCCATATCAAATGATGAGAGACTTGAGACAACAATCAAGTGTCAATTCATCCCAGAGAAAGCTCCTTTCAGCCAGAATTCTAGGCACTTTTAAGAAATGACAGCTTAAATGGTAAAACATCGTGAAGAATTTTAACAAAATCTGAAGAAAGACACTAATCCGATTTGCATGTCTCTGAACTGAGTGGAGAAAGAAATGGTAGCCCTGCCAAAAGCAGAGCAAGTACCTACCTGTGCATATGTATGTGTGTCACTGTAATAGATCTCATATGAGCCTTTTCATAAAATTCAACTTCAATGCACAGAAAGCACGAGAGTGCCTGTATGGAGGCTGCAGTGTATCCATCCATCAGAATAACAAGCAATAAAGCCTGCATATGCTTATACTAGACAAAATAGTCACAAATACAACAATATCACTTTAATCATCTGGCAACCCAGCAATCATCCAACTTCTGTGCTTTTGTTCTAGCCCGACAGCTACATGCAAGAGCTCTTTGTCTCCCATTTTGATTATTGTAATTACCTCCTCCCTCGCCTCCTTAGCAGCAAAATTCCCCTTCTCCTTCAACGTGTTCTACAAACATGGCTACTAAGTTCACATATTTTAGCTTTTTGGTCTAATTCTCCCTGTTTGGCATTTGTCATAAAGTTGAAGCTTCCTGTTGGCAAGGCCATGCTCTACCAACTATCTGGGTGTCCTCTTTCCTCTAGACAGTAGTTTGTAATTTCATCATCTTCCTTATCTGCTCCACATTCACCTGGATTTGTCTAGACCAGACCTGACCTCTAGTATTTAATCAAGGTTGTGAACTGCCAGAAGACTGTATCTGAGCGAAACAGCTCATCAAGAGCTATTCAATTACAGTTGGCAAATTAGGAAATGAATCAGACTGATGGACATTTGTAATTCATTAAGCCAAACTGTCTCAGCTGGTAAGGAGCAGGGGATAGTCCTCATCAACTTGTAAAGTATAAAACGCCCAGGATTTGTGCAAAGGTGTTCTGGAAGACTGTAGTCCAGTGTAGAATTAAGATTTTGAGAAACAATTCTGCATTGGTACTCCCATTGCAACAAACAGTTGGGCAGTGGAATAACATGCTTTGTTATTATGACAGTGCCATCAAGAAAAACACACAGCTCTATTCCCCTGCTCAACTCTCAGTGATACAGTAACTGAAGTCCACCACATAATTATTATTTCCAAGCAGTTTCCAGGCTTCAACAGTTTCGAGTTGTCATGGTGAGCTCATACTATTTGCTTGCTGTTCCTTTCTTTTTAATGGAGCAGGTGTCTGCCAGAATGTGTAACGTTAGTTTTCAGAGATACAGAATGAATACTGCTCACTCAGGCACTGTAAGTGCTTTGGCTCTGAATTCCAGGATGCTGAGATGAAGTCCCACAGCTTTCTTGGTCAGACATTTTACATCTCTGTGCAGGCCAAGTGGGCATCTCTGCCTGTGCCTGTGCCCAGAATCTGAGAAGAAGCTGGAACACAGGAGCCAGTATTCTCTTTCCTTGGGCTTTTCAGGTTCTAGCCACCATATCAACTCCACGAGGACACAATGAGATAACAAAATATTCTTGTCCATCTGGTGTCTCTATGGGAAGCAGATGGACATGAGCCAAAGTTATAGGAGTCACAGCTGAGGGCTGGCATTGGATGTCATGTGCATGCTGACATATGGTTTAATGCTCCAAGGCGTGTTCATACCAGAGACGTAAGATTATATTTCATCTCATATAGAAGCAATCATAGTGACAGCACACTGTCTTTGGGCAAGTACTCACTAGCCTGGAACTGGTCATAGTTCCTATGAACTCCGTTGTTTGTGACTGTAACTTTGGCTCTTTGTTTCAATACACTTCTTCAGCAGAATCAAATGGATGAACAGCAAGCCTATTCCAGGCTCCTTGCCAGTGCCTGTCACTGATCAGCTGGTCATCAACATAAGGACAGATGTGCATGCCCTGTCTCCACGGGTGCAGTGCTCCTGCAGCCAGGAGTCTCAATGCTGCACAGTCTACAATGCCAGAGAGACAGCTTTGGTCCCACCTCTGAAATACTTCATGCTGGACAGGTGAGTAACTACATGAAAGCAGGCTATGTATAATTCAAGAACCATAAAGCAGGCTTATCTGCAGACAGAGGAAGAAGATAGAAGAAGGCATCACCATCCTAAATCTAATGTCATATATGTGCAGGTTCCCCAGACCTCCCCTAAAAGACAGAGAGCCTCTTCCTCTTTAGAATAAAGAATATCATGAATAGTGGTCTCTGTATTTTGGTGCAGCTTCTGCAATGAAGCTGCTTCATCCCCTCAGCACCCACAGTGGAGATCAGTTCAGTGGAAGGAGGTGGAAGGCATCATCTGCATAACTGCCTGGTTAGTACAGTGATTGCTTTTACAAAAAACGTCTGAATTTATGACTCAAAGTTTGCATCTGAACGCTCTGCAGCCATTACATAGGACAGTACCAAAAGCCTGCATAGGCTTGGACAGGGCTGCTCCCAATTCCTCCTTCTGAACAGGTCATAAGGGGATGCAAGAGCAGTGGTGCCAGAGAGGAAGCGAGTGCAAGCTTGCTTTTCATAATTTATGAATTTTCTTTAGTTTCACCGAAAAAAATACCATTCTCATATCAAACCTCTAAACACATTTCCGTAGTATAGTAGTAATACAAATTGTCTTAAGTGCGTAAAGCATTTCCACCCAGTATATTGATTTTGAGTTAAAGGCTGTGCAGAACTGTTAGACATTTATTTTCAATATAAACTAATCCAACTAATTTGAGATCCACCTGCCAGTGTGCCTAACAAATCAAGGTAATTAACAATGGCTTAAGAGGCAGGAGTTTGTTCTTTGAATAAAGTAACATAAACTAGAAGTTTATTTTTAAAAAGCAAATACAAATCTTGTAACTCTGAAGGGCCTTTAACCTTTTCAAGACAGGATTGTACCACAATGTTCCTGTTCTGTGCAGAACTGAGAGTACTAATCCAACACCCTTTGAACATTCCTATAGTGTACAAAACATGGTATCTCTGAGCACACACACACACAAAGCAGCTAAATAAGAAATTCAGAAACACACGTAGAATGGTGTCCAAGTAAGATGCTCACACATTCACTTGATAAACCATAACACATGCTGTAATCCAGCCTACCCTGAAAACGCTTTCATCTCATTTATTTATTACCTGCCAAGAGGAAACGGGATACATTGGTACTTCTACTTTGCCATGTTGACCACTTCAATGTACTTATACATAAATTTATAACCAGATTATTCAGATTCCATACAGTAGCTAAAATGAAATCATGTCTTTTTTAGGTTTTACTGTGTATGTAATTATACTTGATCTTGCAAATACACAGTAAAAAAACATTATTCAACTGTGACAAGTCACTAACAATCCCATACATAATGAAATTCTGAATACAAGTTTATGAGCTTGTAAAAATCTTAAG